CGATAAACAAGGTGCCCTCGTACCCATAATTCCTCTACAGGGAAATTCTAGACCTGCTGTATCCACCTGCATGATCGAATGAGGCGACTAATGTGTCAAAGTCTGCCCCCCCCAACTGCTGCCCTCATTGCAACACTTTGACTATAATTTCCCTCTCTCCTATAGTGTCTTTGTGTTCAGTCGTGTCTCGTTAGGTACCTCTTGTTTTGCTGTTGTCATAATAATGTGACCAGGTTGAAGGTTATGCAACCATGCCAAACTAATGAAATTAAGTGAAAAAGGGATTTTAAAGTGGATCTTGACTGGCGCCATCATCTGGGGACACCATCTTGATATCATCTTAGTTGTTGTAAGGACAAAAAAATCCAAACGAGCAAACTGTATAAAAGTCATATTATACGGACGAAGAAGGTCCTAAGTTGAAACTAACGATGGTCCGAGACTAACGATGGTCCGAGACTAACGATGGTCAGAGACTAGCGATGATCCACTGTACACACAAACCAAAATGTCTATATTAACAAGGGTCGACTGTAACTCCAAACTAAAGTGTCTAGACCAACAAGGTTCTAGTGTGCACACAAAATAATGTATCCCGATTAACGAGGTTCCAATTTACACACGAACAAAGGTGTCCAGACTAACAAGGTTTCTTGTATTCTTTTGTTCGAATAGTACCAAAATGCCAACGGAATTTGCACACTCTAGCTGTCGCGCAGACTTAAACCCAAATTTAACAAACTTACTTCATTTTGATAGTGATGTCGTGACAGACAGAGTTGCATGACGTCAACACGAAATGAATGTCAAACTTTTTCGGACAGGTAAATATAATTGCCGGGTTACATATTATGAACGTTTAAAAATTCGAAGGTATCCGCTCGATTCTCTGTTTATTCAGACTTATCTATCATATCCATTCGCGTGAATGGTCAGAAAATCATCGAAACTCTTTTCATTAAACTGATTTAATTTTAAAAAATCGCATTATCCAGAAATAAAAAGCTTACAGAGCTTCAAAATGAACAAAATAACACTATCTCATATACTTTCTTCAAAATGAATTTCTTATCAAAAACGTACTTACCTGTATATCCGAGAACAAGTCATTGGTTCAATTCGTATTTATAACCCAGCGTCAACAAAAATATCACAAACTGTCGATAACACATCTCCATAACGTCTTGATATATAACAACACACACCGAGAAACAATTACACTTTCAGGTGGCATGGTCACAATAGGGCGAGATTGTCCGATACCTGGGTACAGTCTGTAAGGTATATCGTATAACCACAGCTAGACCTGAGATTATAGAGAAGCTTAAATCTCCTGTGTTTCTTTCGGCGTTGAATAACATGGCCGCGTTTATCAGATCGGGTGAATTCACAACTTAAATAGGCTTATCCATTGTTAGATTTGTGGTGATTTTCACAGCAATTTTAGTATTGTGGAAACAGTGTGTCAGGTCTCGCGAGTTATTAAGATAGGTTAGAAGAATAACACTGCTTTCAACGCAATTAACAAGGCATCGAAATAGATTGAGAGATTAGGAGCCCGACCTATCAACTAGTGATATTTGTGTTGGTTTAACCAGACGAATTCTATACTTCCCACTCAATGATATTCAATCAATAAGTAATAAGCTCATAGGTTGTTTTTTCTTACAATTTATATTTATAAATAGACAATAACAGATATATTGTTTGATTCAAATTTTGAATTAATTGATCTGCCAACTATATTTAATACGTGTCAAATATGGTTCATTTGAAATGATCAATATCCAATGTTTGGTATGATCAAGTGGTGAGAATATTTATATTTTACCTATCATTATGACAGTAAACTATACCGATAAGGTGGTATTAATTCAGGACAAGAAATCCTACCTGTTGAATTCTTACCTGTCATATTTGTATGATTACAGAGTAGAATAACTAATCATCTTAGCTAACCTCTAATGACCTCCCACATAGACCAATAAAGTATTGTACATTTCTGAATAAATACACGATTCTAAATGAAAGACGTCCATTGTAATAGGAAATTGCATCGCTTATACAAATACTGCTTGATGGTTTAAAAACGCTTTTGTTGATACCTAGACAATAACAATAAAGACTGGCATGGGAAATGCTATAATTAACAGTTATACGTCAGTATTTCTACCATTGCTATTATATTTTTTGTTAATGATTATGTGAGGTGTCGGGCATTATACAGGGGACATGTTGTCATCTAACGGGGTGTTATCTCAACCTCATAGAGCTGAATTCTGTTGGTAGTTATCACGAACCAAGGACACCTTTATGATCTTTATTTGTTTGTCATAATCATCAATGCCGTGACATTCCGTTAGGAACTCATGCTATCAAAATATGTATATAAAGTATCACCAACGTAGGTTCTATAACTGACATTGTTCTGTTTTGAAATTTATGCTTTATTTTTAAAAGAAATGACATCAACGGATAATTTAAGGATTATCTGTTAATATAGACAGTGATATGAACATTAGCAGCAATCTGGATACTCTGTTTCCGAGGATGACAGTTTTACTGAGGTTTGTTATTAACAATTGGGGCATTAATTGTCAATATGTAAATTAAACGTCAAACACAATTGTCATAAATTAAAATTCAAAGAGGAAATACAAAATAAATGGTTAAAAACGATTTTGGTATACCTGTTCCGCATTGTAAACGGTGTATAACAAATGCCATACATATTTGTTGATCAACCTTTTTGTGTGAAATATTCCAGATTAATACATTATTAATGATTGTACAAGTCAGTCCTACAATTCCAATTTTTTCTTTTCTGTCTATCTATACTGTCGTTTGTCTTACTGAAAATCTACCACACGACTCGCTCAATAATAATGATATACAACATTTGATATAGCGCCCTATCTAGCTAACATAAGCCACTCTAAAGCGCTTTACAGTACATAAATATACAAATAATACAATTAGCATATACCTTATTTAATTCAATTATGAGGAATTCGCAGGAGCTGCCTTATCAGGCGCTTACTACTAGTCCTATGCCACCTGGCTAATATCTCCCTATGTGTGTATGCCTGCGTGTGTGCTGGATATGTATTGTGTTCTGTTTGTAGTGGGACCGTGCTTCCAACGGCAACTTTCACAGTGCCACCTCACTGGAATGCTACAGCACAGATAACGCAACATCCACCCCAGACCATTTTATACTCCACGTGGGTTGTTGGAGTTGTGTGGGCAGGAGAAAAACACTTTCTCTGATATTCCATGCGTACGACGACTTCGAGGATCGAACCCCGGCCGTCTGCGTGGAAGGCTGAAGCGTTAACCACTCGACCAATCCGCCCATAAGTAGAGAACCAAGTAATTGTTCATCACTGAGATCGCAATTTCTTTGATGTTCAGTTAATCAACGTTATTTCTGTCCATTGATGATATCTTGTTCTTCCGGATATATATATTGTTTGCAGTTGGTTTGCATGTAATACTACTCCTTAATTCTATTTTCTGATTCTTTTCATTTGTTTATTAGATCCTTATGTTTATTTTCTTATTTAGATGTGAAAGAGGGGAGGTAATCCCTGTACTACTAGTCACGATTGTCCTCATGTGAACATTGAGTCTTTAGTCAACACTGAATATATATATTACCAACATCCTGAAACCCGAGAGCCATGTGAAGGGTGAAAGCAGCTAGTTTTTTAGTCGGTCGTTAATCTTATTTTTTCTGTATATATATATATATGTATATGTTTGAGACATGTCATATAGATATATATATGTCTAACTCAAATACATTTCACGGCCATTGCATAATGAAAGATGATCCATCAAAGTTTTAACCATTGGCAAAGTGATGGTACCAAACCATTAATCTCGCACTTCTTACTTTTCATTGATCGCTTATATAGGAATTTATATATAAAGCAAAACGTAAGTTCGAGCAATTAAAGTTAAAAAATAACTCTTATTAGAGGATAAGAGAACCTAAAGAGTTTGCGATGTATGGGTTAGACAAACATTTCCTTTAATCTAAAACACTAAGACGTAAGTCCATTGCGTAAGTTCCCGAGGCCAAAATACTACCAATCCATATAGTTCACTTAACAATAGCGTGGTTTTAATAACGAACAAGCTAGTGATGAGTGAATACTTGTATGTAGAAATGACGAAGTCTCTAAGCTGGCCCAATAGTTTTTAATCAAAATCAAGTCAAACTTACTTCCTGACAATCGTAGTTATTGGCAAAATGATGACTTTAGCCTATGCCATTTAAGGGGATATTTTGTAATTAAATAGTTCAGACTACCATCAATTGCAGGAAACATATAACGCCAGTCAATTAAGTTTGATTATGACGTTGCAATAAAAGATAATAAATCAGTCACAATGTATGTTTGACGAGGCGATAGAGAACAGGGCAGTCATATATTAGGAATACTTTGTACCACAATCTCGAGTAATCGCGTAGCCTGAACTGACCCCAGTAACACTAACCCCTTCAGTCCGTCTCAAAATAGGTTTAAGTGTTACTGCCGTTGTGTAAAATGCATTTTTCCAGTAGAACCATGAAAAACTAATTTGTTTTACCACATTGCATAATAATTTATGAGGCAACATATATTGGAACCCCTGAAAACGCGGGGTTTCCTTCTGTGTTCCTCGTTTAGTGCACATCTAACTCCTTATAATCTTTGTAATGTTATCCGTCATTTGTCTAGAAATTGATATACAGTTTTTCAAGTATATGCTTCGAATAACTTACATACTGTATCCCCATTTTCTACCTTGTGCACCAGAATAATATTAGTGTGTTACATTGACGTTAAGGCCATATCAAACGAAATTTCAAGGACATTCATTTGGCATAAACACAGGTGCGCACTTTCCCTTCTACACTACACCATAGTACTAATTTAATTTATACTGCTTTAAGTCAAACTACAATGGCTAGCCCTAAAAGACTAACATCATACAAAAAGAACCTTTACCTGATTTTAAGCGGAAGGAAGGAGACACGCTTGTAGTACGCCTGGCTATCCAGATTCCTTTCCCTGACGAGGTTGGCCATACGCATTGTGTTGAAGTCGTTGGTGTTAGATCTCTGTAGACGCTGTTGCCGGTTTTCCTTGTCAAAACCTTGACTCGGAGTGAAGGACGAGATAAGCGATGACACAGAACTCGGAGCCAGTGAAGGCATCATGGACACAGTAGAGGAGCCTATGGAGGCTGCCTTGACCGACTCCAACCCATCTCCGTGCTTGTCCAAGTAACACTTATTTCTCATATCACATGGTGGTGCTGAATAAACAGATAAACAAACACACTGAAACACGCAAAGACTAAGTTTTGTTCCGAAGACTCTTCTATTCCTCTGCGTTTCTCCCCTTACTATTTCCTAATGCTGCGATATTTTGAAATCACCTTAAATGTATTTATTCCTAATGAGACGCACCATGCTGATCAGTATCGCAGAAAATAATCGCATTATGATTTATCAAGTATATATAAATACACAGACACACTTCCGAACGAAACCTTAGTATACAGAAGCCGTGGATAGCTATACTCATTGTCTTAAATTCTTTGATTTTCCCCTGCTGTTGTTTAAATTCGTGACTTCTACCGGAGGAAAAGCTATACAAATTTAATGAACTAGTAATAACCGACTTTCTTTCAAGGAGATCAAAGACATGATATGTATTGATGTAATGTAACCAACAGCACCTACATATACGTATCATATGTACACTATAGGCCTAGCTCAATTAAACAGTAAGATCAGAGAAAAACACAGTTATAGTATATTGCATCCCCTTCCACCTGCCATCCTGATTGCCAAATATGTTTTTTTTTCATTTGCTTTCGATTTTTGTACATATTTGTAAAGGAGTTCTATGGCTGCGGTTTACGGCCTCATAAAGTTATTGAAAGTATTGAACATTTCTAATTTGTCCCCTAAATCTTGGCCATGTTACCAAAACATCTGACATTCCAAACCAGTGTACTTGAATATGTGTATCTACAATATTGAACTATGGTAGATATATAAAGATAGTCTTAAAGGTATTAGTCTTAAAGGTATTTGGACTACATCCAATGAGTCTCTGTTAAAATCTTAAATATCATCAGTATTTGTGTGTTAAGACCAACCGAAAACAATAGATATATCACATATATTTCCTTCAAAGTTATGTTCATATGTCAGAAAAGAATATGATATCAATATAAAAGAAACATTACCTTTTTCAATCATGGTAACACTATTTGCACTGAGGTGTATACATAGTATGCAAATAATGCATATTAATCCATTGAGAATTTGTATAAACTCACGTATTAATCCTTTGAGGAAAATATAATCCTCCTGGCACCATATTGTGTTCCCTACGAAACGTCAGTCTCTACGAGAGATACGATATTATAAAATATAAAATTATGGAGCGGGTGGTCCTAGATATTTCGGTGACTGGTGCAGTGCCATTGAAGCGTGGAGCTCCATACACACTGATCAGACCTATCTATATACCATTTAACAATGACACAGAGCTTTGTCTGACGTTCGACAAAGCCGTGTCGCTACCATCAGATAGCATGCAGATGGTCGTTACAGAATAGTGTAATACACAACAATCTGGAAACCCAAGACAGAGAGGACATAGCTCACGGATAGACACGACTAAAGAAGCGATCTAATTATATTACAGTAGCTGTCTTCAGCTCTCCGTCACCTTATATCGGTCGTATTATCCTTAATGCCACATTCATATACAAATATAATTGCCGACATATTGCATATTTTTTCTACCTTAAACCTGATACATTTTCTGAATCCAATCTCTTGGTTATTATAAGTTCCACGTTATTTCCTATTTCCCTTACTACTAAGTCATTTAAAATACTTTGCTTCTAAGGACATAGGAATTGCCCGTCTTACAGATTCTTTTTATTCTACAATTTTGTTAAACTGAGATATTGGTATACTGACAAAACTTTTAGTTGTATACATGTATGTATTTTTATCAATAACATTTATATATTGTATTTAAAATCGTTGTAAACAATTTGAGATTTGGCACATGCATGTCGGAAAAAATTAACAAAAAACCCTAATACATTAATCTCGTTAAGTTTGTATGAAAACATTCGTTGTCTTAACAGGTTTTCATGCACCTGGTTAGGTTGTGAACAGAGGGTGAATACGTATAAGGTATAACTATATCTCTGCCAAGTCATTGCATTCAAACGTTTTGTGTGTTTTCCACAATGTGAAATGTACCTAAAAAGACTTAACACACGTTTTATGCTGAACAGGCTTTGTAAATAACTTCACATAAGCATATACACTGTATAAGTAAACTTTGACCAGGTCAGCGTAGTCAAACCGTATCATTATAAAGAAACTGTTTGATGTACGCAAATATATGTCGTTCTAAAATAAACAAGCAACTCGTTTTATATTGAAAATAAACCAAGGTTTGTAAACAGAGTGTGGCATTCTGTGAATCCGTTTTAGAATTGATAATATTGACAACAATAAAATATGACGACTATTCGAAGTGTTAATTGCATGTTGTACAAAACTCGGGCATAGTGTCATACGGAAAACCCGAGTTTTGCGAACAACCTCAAGTTTGAAATTAAACAAATAGTTAACGTTTTTGACCTTTTAAACCCCACATCTTGATTATAAGAGAGTATAACAATATAACTATGTTATATTTACAATATAACATATGCATGATAAGGAAGCTAGGATATTTAAGTCGCTCACATTGAGCTGACAGATATAACAGTAAATAAACGTCTTTAATAAAATGGGTTCTAAGCAACTTTGTTGTATAATACAGGAGCTTAAGTCGAATATTTTAAAAATTTGAAAAGACATCAGGAGGTATGGAATATTGCCTCTTTAAAACATTTCCAAAGTATTTTAAGAAATTACATAAAAACACTATATTTTATTATATATTTTTAAACTTTTTGTTTCCCCAAAAAGTACATGAGTACATATATATGTTAATTTCATTATGAAATGGTTGACCATGTACAGGTGAATTACACACCTCTGCAGATGACACTTTTAAACATGTATTCCGTCTTTGCGTATTGCAGTGTTATCTTCTCTTGGGAGCAGGTATTGATTGTTACGTCATTGGTTTGTGTGAGAAAATGACGTCGTTTTCTCAAAAATTGATGACGTTATTCTCACAAACAAGTGACGTAACAATCAATACCTGCTCCCAAGAGAAGATAACTCTGCAATACGCAAAGACGGAATACTATATACCGGGAACATTTCGCCTTTTTCGCCTTCCATAATGAGGGCGAATTTATCATTACAGCGAACATTACTGAACATCATATACATGGTAATTAAATGTGAAGGGCGAAATTTACATTAGGCGAATATGGATTATTCTGGCGAAGGTTTGAGTGGGCGAAAAGTTCCCGGTATACAATAACATAATTGAGTGACTTTTGAAGTGAAATGATTTTTGTATAATAATGACTTTTGTATAAAATTATTGAATAAAGTATAAAAAAATCATTATTATATCATTGAGTAAAGTATAACATTTTCAAGTGACTTATATTACACAATTGAATGATCTATAAATAGATATATTGATCTATAAAGATTACAGCGTACGCCAAGAATTCCGCATATTTAGGACATAAAATAAAGCGACGATCGACTTTCTATTCGCTTTGTGATGTCGTGTAAAATGAAAAAATTGGTAAAACGTTGACAGTTCAGCCAATATTTTTTTAATCATAATTCATGCACGTTTTGTTTGTTTGATTCTTTCCCCTAGTAAACATGTAAGGTAATATGAAAAAACGAAATGAAAATTACTATATAACCGGAGTAGTTCTGCTGAAATATTCTACTGCAAAGTTTAACTACAACGCCTTAAGAATATGAGGTGGTGATTTTACAAAATTAGATTTTATTTTCCAATGCCGTCAAGCATCAGTTCACCAATTGTTTTTATTACAAAGCACTGCCAGAGTTGATAGATAAATAAATACCTGACGACGTCGATTTATTTACAAAGCATGTTCTATCATCTGTTTAATCAATAAGATATTTAAATACCTTGTTTAATGAATTGCAAGTGCAGAGTATGATTGATCAGATATATGATTATATACGGTTCTTTAGCATGAAGTGTTTAACGATAACATTGATATACGAAGTAGGATGTGGTGATATATAAATACCACTAAACATAAAACAACAATACGCGTTTATTCAAAATGACAAGGCCATACTCATTTCGGATTTTTTATAAAGTTTTACGAGTTACCTCCCGTTAATTCATTAATTTATGATAATAATAAATGGTATACATGAGGAATAAAATAAATGTTCTGTTTAGAAGAGAATGATGAGCAACATTATAAATGATATTTTTTTTACGAATTTTGACTTCATAGAAATAACATGCAGTATACAGTATTTGTTTCGAAATACATAACGTTGTTTAGAAAAAGCCTGTTTGAAAAATACAGTCTAACGTTTTGAAATGTCCAAAAAAGTAGTTAATTAAACATTTTTTTCTGATTCTGATCTGTTGCAGTAATGACATTTGTAATGGTTTAAACATTCCTTACACATGACCTCTCGTTGTGTTGTATTTTTTAATGCTTCTTGCAGCCATAGCTGCATTACTAAGTGACAACCTGGTCACTTTCCTCCAATGCTTTTGTTATGGCAGAATTGGTGTCACTCAATAAGTTGACCTCTAGTACATTTACTAGAATGACGATAATTAGCACAGAGTCCCCTTCCCCTCCCAAGAAGTCATGCATTGACACAGAGAAGCTAAAACCATACTTGTCATTGTCATAAAGTTACAATTTAGCTATAATTCTAGCATCTTATTTGTAATGCGATTGTGATATTTGCAATAAAGGTTCCTCATTGCTCCAAGCAGTCAAAACGATTAAGTTGTTATATCTTTCACTTGTTCTGGACTGTAAATAAGAAAACTGTTTTGTCCTAACAACAGCTGTGTGTAAATATGTAATATATAAATGTGACTAATTGATATAAATATGACTATATAATCTTATTAACAAAAGTACAAATACATGACAAACATGAAACCCTTTCAAACTTTTAGATTCAAATACCTTGTCATATGATTTGGAGAATGTATAAATGAGTAATTATATATTCCTCCGCATTAAAGTCATTTTGTTCTCTGTGGAGTATAACATCGTGGATGCATTAGTCCAAAGTACATGCCACACAATAATATGACTAGAGCTATGCATCCGCAATACTTGGTTTAAAGTAAATGAACACACGAAAGAAACAATTTATAAAATTTTGAAATACCACAATAATAACAATGGAGTGCTATTACAAACAAAAAACGAGAGGATGAGTGAGTGTTGCTCAGTAGGCCTCCTACAGTGTGCGACAACACTAACTCGTTCTACTAAAGCGATGTTATAAATAAGTTTGCATATGTATGTCTGTTCAGGTACCTTCACATTATATATTATCTCTTGCAAGGAGAATAAAATATTTGAAATTGAAAATTAAAAGAGAAAAGAATAACGTAGACTCGAAAAAGTGACAAACATCATGATGTTATCATCAGTGATGTACCACGAAATGGAAAAGCAAAAAATTTAACAATATTTAGTGCAAGTCATATCTAATCAATAACGATTTGTGTGAAGTGACATATAAAGAAAACATGTCAAAAGGGGGATAACTCTTCTATCCATGTTATCTAAATTAGTATTTATTACATAGGGAATGTGTAATAGTTTCCCGTTCAATGCCATACGAGTGAAATATATATAGTAATGAACGGGAAAACCTTATTTTGTTTTCTTTTTATTACATTTTAAACATTTATCAAACATAAAGTATGTATTAACTCTGTGATAGGGAATCACGTTTCGTTCCCCCCTTTACTATTCATGTTTCACTCGGGATTCTTCCTCGTGAAACATACTTAATCGCGGGAGATGGAATGCTCATTTTGTCTTTCTATAAAGCTAATAAATGTATATCAACTCTACTGGCACAACAAACACTCACCTGGTTCTGCTTGATGTAGTCTATTTTATAACGTCTGATCACACTAGGGTTGATGTATGGATATGATGTTGATTCTACGTCTGTAGCTTGATGTGGAGACTAAGCGGTGTTATAGTGATGAAGAAGTCTTGAATAGCCTCTTTCTAGATAAATTTCACTTAATATAATGAAGACTGATGTCATTTCTGTCAAATAGCGTCTAAGAAGTAGATAAAAGGTATGGAGAAATGTTTCACAAACGAATAGTTATATGAGGATTGGTTCTGCGTTAGGCCTGGATATCATGCGAAAGCCCAATACCAATTCTAGATGGCCTCATGACGTTTCGGGACGATGTGGTTTCTTGTAAGTCATCATTAGTATATTCCTGTAGAAGATTCAAGTCTTCCTGAGCAATACCAGAATCATTGCTTGACGGCACCCCTTTGTTTTCTGTTTCCTCCGGTTCCGAAGGATCAAGAGTTGTTACGAAAAAGCCTCCTTCAACTTCACCCATAGAATCTGGGGACTCATCACCAGTTGGTTGGTCAGAAAAGTCATCATATTTCTGGCCTGAAATTTCTGTACTTTTATTTATGACCCCGCATCTGTTTATAACACTATTATCAGACGTTTCGGTTTCGACAGATATATTTTCATCTGCGTTTACCACAATTTGCCCATCACCAGAGTCTAGATCTGATTCTGTTGTTTTCACTCGTTTTCCCTCTGAGTCTGCCACTTTCTTGGCCGATTCAAATGTGGATTCATCGGGATCAACTGTAACGTCATCCGTTTCAACATTTGTTTTGTCCGATCCGCAAGGTATGCTAACAAAGCCACTCTCCGGGGAAGATTTTTGTCTGAGCTCTTTCGACTGAACAACAGTGTTCCTGGTTTCATCGCTGGGCACCTTGATACTCTCGCCACTGAAATCAGAACTGTCGACGTTCTTTTCAGATGCCATTTTTTGTGAACTGTCATGTTTATTTTCACTATAATCAATCATTTCTTGTGGGGGAAAAGGTGTATCTCCAACTTCGAAACCTTTTTTACTTTTCCCGTTGAAATCATTTGATTGAGGATTTTGTGTATAGTTTTTATTAGGATAACTCTTATCATTTGAAAGAGGGTAGTTATTAATGCCGCCTACATTTCCCGCGTCCCTAATATAGCGTCCTTGGTCGAGAAGCATTTCTTCTACAGCAGACTCCTTGATGTTTTCTCGAGCAAAGCTTTCGACATTTGACTTTTCCTTTTCGACCCATCTTGGCATATTCAGAATCTCTGAGTAGGTGCCATCTCTTGGTGTCGGTTCATCTTCAGTTTTCTTATACTCTATTCTTACTGAGAACTGCATTTCTGGACCTATTTTCCTGTTGTGGGGTTCCTGACTTTGTCTACTTGTCGCCTTATTAATTTGGTATCGACCTTTTTTATGACCATCCTCGTAGTAACCAGGTCTGCTTTTATGTAAGTTTGGTTTGCTTTCGGTCTTGCCAGGAGTCATATGCCGGGCCCTGCACGATAATACTTCTGGATCACTTCTGCTTAAAGATATATGCATGTCGTTTTTAGTTTCATCATCCTTTTGCAATTCAATTTCACTTATTGAAACACTAAAGTCATGTGTATTTACAAAAGGTCCTTTGACTTTGTAACCATCCGATGGCTCAGCATGTTCTCTCCCATCCAAATTAACATGTGGCATGTCAGATATATCGGAGGCAAAACTGTGCATAGGTTGAATTGGCATAGGGGCCGGGGATATGTCATCGTCCATCGACGGCACCGACTGTATTGAAGTTTGGGCGAAGGGGTTGTTAGAACGCTGGACAGACTTTATAGCGAACACTTCGGTACTTTCTCGAAGGCGCTGAGACTCCCCTGATGCCCGTATTCCTGGAAGTGTTTTGAATGTTTTACCCAGCTTCCCTGCTCTCTGACCCGTCATCAGTGATGTATTCACAAAATGAATCTGCTGGTTGGAATCGAAAACACGTGCGTATTTCTTCTGGAAGGTTGAATTCCCAGACGCTGGTAGACCAAAAGCCGAACTATTCTTTTTGGGAACTTTAACAGATTTCGACGAACGAAGTTGATGACCATGGAAACCCGATGTGTGAACGACCTTTTTCGGTTCACTGTGAGTAGGGTTGTACGAAATATCATGGCCCTGGTTACTGTTTCCTTCCGCCTGTATGTTAAGGTCGTTCCCTAAAATCCCAGTAGTCACCGTCGATACAGTTTCCTTCTTGACATCCGGTCGTCTTCTCCGTTTCTTTAGTCGTACACACTTCCGACACGCTGACAGCGACATAAGGTGAGGACACATTGGTCCTGCGACCTTCGACTTCTTGAATTCTGATCGGAGGAATTCCTTGGCAGATTTATCGGCTTGTTTCTTGTCTGACGAATTCGCATCGAGATTGACATCTGTTGTGTTGAGGGGCCGCTGGTAGGTGATGTCTTCAGAAGATATTGACTTCATAGATGATGGACGGGCCTCCGTACCAATAGCTGCGCGAGATGTATATACCGTGGGCTCAGACTGTATCCTGTACTTCGGGACATGTCTGAAAATAGAAACATACGCTTCTTCACTATTCAGCAATCGAGATTGCAGAACTGACAACGCATGTTAAAACAAAGAAGAGATACGAAAAGAAGAGATACGAAAAATTTAAAGACAAAATAAAAATATTAATGCAGATAAAATCATAAAAAGTAATATATGTATCCATTTGTAATAATATTTTTAAATAAATTTGCCAGGTTTTTTTAATGTACGTCTGGCGTCACGTTCCTAACATTATGTATCCTTCGGATAAAGCCGTTTTCATGATAGTTAGTCTAACCTATCGGTAAGTCTGGTTTTGTCTACCCTTGTTAAGAAACGCATAAACTAGCATACTTATATATTTTATTATGATAACTTGTACTGCAACACCTTTACCAAAATAAAAAAAACTACATACATGTCATAATGCCTGACACAATAATATAAAATGTAATACTTATGCATCATATATAAATTAACAAATTATTAAAGGACTTAATCCTAACAGAAACACAAAGCACATGTGTGATATGTAAGGTAGTACCTTCGCGCAAACAGTTTGTTCGGTGATATTACAATATCCGATTTGTGTGATACGAAGGACCTGGTATCTTATAATAATTATAACAAAGTGTGAATATGTAAAGAGCCAAACAGACGTCAAAAAGATGTATTTCTAAAAAGTTAAGAAAAGTGAAGAATTGACGTAGACTGTATTCGGTACATAGACCATTAATTACGTTAAAGGTATTTGTGGTGATAACGTACCGGATTGTGATTGGCAGGTTTTCCAGGCTCCTGAACACAGCCTGGTTATTTCGTTCCCTGTCTTTCTGTAGTTTCAATATATACCGTTCGGAAACCTCGTGATTCGTGATCCCGATAAGCTTCTCCTTTCTCCCGCCAATTCCGATGCTGGTAGGTGGCGCTCGGATCGACATATGACCCGGGATTGTCCCGACGCCGTGAGCATTTTCTGTCCACTGCATATTTTTGATGTCAGGTAGATCTGTGTCCCTCCTGTAACAGTAATATAACCGTGGTTCCATGATTATAATAATATGTAAACATTTTTTCATTTTTCTTTCTTCAAACAATACCAACGGTATTTGATATTTCGACGGTGATCTGGTGATTCGCAGCAGGCACTTGACACTGTCCTGCATCAACATGTGTTTGGTTAGTAACGACTACAACATTATACCACTTATACCAAATCATTATCATTGTCATTTTGTCGTCTATGTAGTGATGTAGTGTTACTGATCTCTAATTACGTCTCCTACCATCCACTACTAAATATGGCACATACAGGACGAGATTCTATTACGACAAGCACCGTAAGTTTCATTGATGCATTTTGTCCAACACTTGATTTTTTCTTTTCTTTTTGTTTGTGCTGGTTTTAATCATTTTGGGTTGAAATGCATACAATATCATAAAATAAAAACAGAATAAGAATTAATATCAACAGAGATTTTAATAACTTGTACATTTTATCGTAACGATTATTAAGCTAACAATTCGTGCTGTATCTGGGTTCAGTAAACAGGTATCTGCGTTGCGACACCTGATAACTAGCTGTTAAGATGATAACTGTGTTGTAGTTTTACCGGTAAACAGATAGGAATTATATTGCTGACATATAATAGTCTTAACTCTCTCTTCGCACATTCGCCGTATTTAAAATGTATGTAGATTTAAAAAAAAAACTTCATGAATATAGCAAAATTCAACTTAATAGTTTCATTCAAATTACATAATTAATTCTTTCTAATCGAAAGTTAAAGGTAATGTTCGAGTTGCACATATTAAGAGATAATTTGAATAAAGAAAATTAATTAATTCTTATAAATTCATATATCTGAAAAAAATAGTCACATTGAAGTTCACATTTAATTGGCGTCAAGTTGTGCATGCTTTAACTAACTACCCTTGACCGTGTCCTGGAATGTTAACACACATTTACTTTTAAATTGAACGATTCAATATTGATTTCAACAAATTTCGATATTGATGATGTAATTAAAACGGGTATGACAGTAGGAACTCACTACGACTCTGCGTAATATGGACGTGGTTTGCAAACCCTGGTTAGCTTTATGACCAAATAACAAAATGTTTCCTTATACTATCAGCACTAATCTACCAGTAGTAATATGTCCGAATAAACCCATATGTGTGCAAATTATTAACAAAATAGATATAAAAATGTTCATAAGGTATTTTGAAAATTTGAGTCAGTTGATCCTTAAGCAAACAAAGTTGTGAGCTATCTGGGTTCGACCGATATTGTGAGCCTATTTTCGCATGCTTACATTACTGATGTAAGTTAAAAATAAAATTAAGCGTAACATGTTAACGGTCATACAAAGGATGAGTTAAGTGTCATCAATTTTTTGCTGCACTGCATCACTAGGAAATGCTAAATCAGTATTTGATTATCGATAAAAACATACTTTGATTGAGTAGTTAAATTGCAAACATTCTCCAACTGAGTTAAGGGGCTTCATTGTGAGTGAGTACTTACTTTAATACGTATATACAGCCTAAGTGGTGATAAACCTTCCAGAGGTTAGGGTACACAATTTGTCCTAATCTCTGTTATAACTGGATTACAATATAACTTAATTTCAATATATTTCGTTCCGTTAAAATAACATAACGTCAACTAATCTCTATATAGACCA